TATATATATATATAATATTTCATTTATAACTCTTAAAATATATTGTATATTTGTATGTATTGTGTGTGCATGCGTGCATGTATGTGTGTGTGTGATGTGCATGTAACTATATATATTGTATATATTGTACATCTTATATTATTCCATTCTGTTCAATTCTTTGTATAAAAAACAATATAATTTTATAAATTTTTTATAATAAACATGTATTAATGATTACGATTTATTGATGCTATTGAATAAATATTTATAAGCAAAATTTCTATTATTCTACTGTTTAATACAATGTCCAGAAAGAGAGAGAGAGAGAGAGAGACAGATTTAAATCAACTAAAATTTTTTTTTTTTATTTGAGAAATTTATTATATTTTATGTTTGAATTTATACTTTTATTCAATATTTCCGACATTATTAGCTACTGACAGCATTCACACTTTTGTGTTCTTCTTTACATATAATAAGCAATATAATGTAATAAAGAATACAATTTATTCAATAACAATATAGATTTTTATAAAATATAATAACAAAAAATATGATACAGCGCGTAGCGCGCGTTTATATATTCTATAAACTATTGAGATATCTTGATTTTTCGTATAATATTTTGCAAAAACCTGACAATATACTTATTACCAGACGATCATATGAACATGAAAGAATTAATTAATGTTGCTAATGATTAAAACTTTATAAAAAATAAAAGATTACAAGACTATAGAAAAATTATAGTAGAATAAACTTCTGTTTTTCAGAATTCGATTTTTCGTATTTCGTATCACGTGTCAAGATATTTCTAATTCCTGAGGGGAGTACGAAAATATTTGGAGCCCATTTTTCTCTCTATTCTGTCTATTACTGTCTCATTTGCTTTCATTTTATTTCAAAATATTAATATAATAAATATATATATATATATATATAATAAATATGATACAAATATGAAAAATAATAGCAGACGATAATAAGACTGCTTTCTTTTGCATGTGCATCTGTCTTTATTTTTATTTTGTTTACTTAATTCGCTATCTCTTCTTCTCTCTTTCTTTTTCTCTTTCTCTTTTTTTTTTTCAAGAGAGAATCTGACAAATGTGAGCGTTTTTATATGCGCGTTGCACGTTATAATCGGACGGTAAAGACAAGTCATGAATCTTATCGCGTATTACCGTTAAACCAGGTATAATCAATTTAATTGTCTGTATAATGGGAAATGTCCTAT